AAGTAGAACACAGCAATAATGCACATTTTGGACAGGAGCCGAAGCGCGCAGTCGGCAGCCAGATGCAAAGTCAAAAAGCAAAGGCAGCTATCAATCAGAGGCCGTAGCCGAGCACAGGCGAGCAACCTGTGCACTGAGTTCCGACAACCTCGCCGCAGTAGTTTGCTGAAAATCTAGAAACTGGCGGCGAAGAGCCAGCGCCTCGGCCTCGACCGAATGCAGCCTTTGGCACAGCAAATATAGAGCCCCGCAGTAAGAGGGATCCTCTCCAAGCTCACGAACGGCACCTGAGTCAGCCAAGCGAAGATTCAGGACGTCCTGCTCAACATCGGCCAGACGTGCGTGCAAAAATTGCAAATCCTCAGTAGTGGGAGCGGCCCGATCCAGCTGATCGGCCGCAACACGCAGCGCCTGAGCCGCAGCAGAGCGCGACGAGAAGGGCCGGGCTGGCGGGGAACGGGAGCGGCTGGGAGCACGGGCCTGGGCAGCTTCGAGTCTTGAGCCAAAATGGCTAAAGCGAAATTTTTCTCCTCCTTCAGCTCACACGAGCCGCAACTTCGGATGTATTGCAAGATGAAAAATTTCACAACAAGCAACCAAGCACATGTTGCAAAGCAGCCATGAGAAAAACCGATGCCCTGATTTTTGTTTACACATGCAAACAAAAATCCATCACATTAGAAATAAAACTTCATGCACCTTCGGTGGAGTTACGTCTTCCATGCTGTGGCGAAGAGACCCATGCCCACCCCTCCCTTGCTCGTGCGCCGGTTCCCTCCATTGCCAGTGTCAGCACACAACGGTAAGGTGAGGGTTGGCTTGCGTGGCCGGTGCATGCGTGTTCAGGTGGCAGGGAGCCAAGAGTTGCCGGCAAGAGTGCGTACGACATGTACGACCAGCCGACCAAGAAGTTTCCAAGCACCAACCCTCTGCATTGCAAAGGAATCTCGAGACGAATCTGATCCAAACTAGCACTGAACATGACTCTGACACAAACAAAGCACGTCGGCCGAACCCAATGATCTCGAAAATTGATGAAATTATGTTCTGGTCGTCTCTCATTCGCGTTCATCTGATCTCATGCCGGTTCCGACTCCAGACGAGAGCCACGGTGGTGCGAGTAATGTGCCCGGCCCAATTGGCACATCGGCCAAGGCTTCCTATACAGTACTATCTGACGGCGTGGAGACTACAACCTAGCGGCCAAGCAAGGGCAGTTACCACTTGCAGGCCAGCAGCTTGGCAAAAACAGCTGGGAACCCCACTTTTAGCGCAAGTCGGAGGATCTCAGCCGCGGGTGGGGCCAGGAGCTGCGCGGCCCTGTTTTAAGAAGGTTGGCCAACGCAGCAACCGCACCCAATGAAAAGGCTTTGGGGGGCGAAGTCAATCAGCTCACAAGGCATGCTCGGGCATCTGCGGGCGTCCTTCTCAAGAACTGCCAAACTCTCCACCGTAATGGCTTTCACTATCATGTCACAGCACGTTTGATCATTGCAAACCTGTGTGCAACACAAACCTGGACCTGGAAGGCGGATCGCTTTGCAGAATCACGTTCAGCGACGTGTACTGTGTTGAGTCTTGTGCTTGGATGTAAACGTCTGCAGGGATGAAGACTGTCGAAGTCCCGAGTTCAGCCATGTCCACGAAAGCCACATAGCTGCCATAGCAGCTCGTTTTACGCAAAGGGAACGGATGCCCCGCAGAGATGCTTGCCAAACTGAACCCTCGGTGTACTGCGAAAAATGAAAGAGCAAGAACGGAATGGGAGCCGGACTTGCCATTACGCTGGGTAAGCAAGGTAGAGCAACGACCGTGAATTGAGCAGCCTTTGCCAAGCATCTTTGAGCATGCTCTGATCTTTCGTTTTGTCGTTAGGAAATCTGGGCATCCGCCATGTTACCAGGTGGAATGTGGGGCGTCCGAATTGCAAATATTGACTGCGAACCCCGATGATCTGCAGTATCCTCTGCTGGATGCAGATGTGCTAATTACCTGTGGTTTCGGACGGTCGGCCTGAACCGCTTTTGCAAAGATCCGGTGGCTCATGGCCTGATGCCATCGTCGCACAACGCCCCCACATGCAGAGATAGTGATTCTCGCTGCTACAGTCATGGCTGGGTCTGCTCTGGTACAGTCAGAAGCAGACTTCTTTTGGCTCAGCACTTGCACCTACTTGCACAAACGATCACATCTGGGGAGGCAATGCCACATTTTCCATCGCAAGCGGATGGGAGTGCATCACTCCGCTTTCATGCTTCAATCATCGACCAACCACGAAGCCATGCGAACTATAGCAATTCATGCATGGAAAGATGAAATGCGGCGTTCTAACGAAACATCAGCACCTCAGTCGCTACGTGATTCTCGCTGTCAAAGCTCACCTGCAGCATGACAGCTAAACAGCTTCTGGACACCCGCAAGCTTCCAATCCCGAGCTCGATGCTGTTGGCGGCAGTCGTTGGTGATGGAGCCTCTATGCTGCTTGATTGCATGAACCACCTAATCAGCATAGCGTACAGCGCATTTGCGTCAGCCTTATCTTCCGAAGAGTTCGTTCCTCCCTTGTACCTGCATCTCTCCACGACATGTTCAACCAGAAAGTCGCATCAAGGATAGGAGAACCATTCTTGGATCTTCTTCGTAATCATCACGACAGTCAGCATGATCACAAAGGCCCCTGCCTGAGTGCACATTCTCGACAATTTCGAAACTCTCAGGCACTGGCCTTTGCAGCAACTTAGAGAGAAACTTTGAACATGAACTGATACCTCAGACCGGCGAAGCAGCCACATTGCGTGCATGAAACGGAAACATGTGCACCACCAAGCTGCTGAATTCGTTTCTGTCTGCTTTTCCTTCGGGCTTTCGCTTTGGCATGAAACCTTGACAGCTCCTTCAAAATCCCAGTCTCAGCTCTACATGCAGAAGGTGCACGGAGATGCACAGATCACAGCCTGTCCTGGTCCTCTTCTGCTTGCCTTGAGCGTGAAGTTGATGGAACTACTTCCTGCCATTCACTGGTGACGGAATGCCTCAATCTGCTGTAAAGTTCCGCGGCCTCTGTACAAGCGTCGTCGGCATTTGGAACAGGTTCTTTGCTGTTCACCTCAACCGTTTCCAATTCCTACATGCTGCGAATGGAAGCGACCACGCTTGCCTTTGCACTCTGTTCAGCTTTCATGGCTTTCAATCTCACTTGGGGCACCCAAGCTCGCTATGTTTCCGTCTGTCACTTCCAGATCTGTTGGTAAGTTTGGCATAATTGCACTTTGTCGCCATAGGGTCTTTTGGCTTCCGCATTCTTTTTTGTCAGGTGCGAAGCAACCTCCATAAATCGGAACCGCAACAGCTGCGGAATAGCACCTTCGATCAGCAACGATGCGATGATTGAGCAGGAAAGCACACATTTACCCAGCGTGTCTTCACACGGGATGCCTGCGGCCTTTTTGCACTCCCCGAGTTACCTGGAACTTGCCACACACAAAAAGCAATGAAACGCCTTTTTGCACTCCCCGAGTTACCTGAAACTTGCCACACACAAAACAAAAAGCAATGAAACTCCACGATCAAAAACAAGCTGTTCCCGTGCAGTCTCAAAACCAAGCATCTAGAATCTGGTTTTCCCAGTGGAGCATTGTATCATGCCCAACTCAAGCATGAGACAACGTTTGAGCTTTCCCAACGGTCTGTCACGGCCTCTGGAATCGAAATTTGTTTGAACATGCTGGAGCCAAACCGTTATGCGGCATGCGAGCTCTTGACTCAACTAGTTTGAAACTTTTCAAGCTCGCACGAAGCCTGCTCGGAATGCTGGGCTTTCTGGGCCAGTCGAGAAACAAACACACCAAAACAGGTCTCGTCGCTAGTACCCCAAACAGTATGGCACCTTTCTCTTTTATCTTGTTTTCCAAACCCAACTGTGTTGTAGCGCAGTGCCTGGCTGTTTCGTTCACGGGGTAACTCCTTCCGTCTCGGTTCGGCTCAATGTGGCCGTGCAGCCCCAAGGCTGGTTTGAAGAAGGGGTCGACAGTGCGCGAAAAATGCATGCAAAATTTTTTGGGCCGTACTGTGGTCTGGCGGGGAAGAGGTTACTTGAAGGATCGTGGGGGTTACTATGTAGATACTGGACTTATACAAGTTAGTGCCAAACTTAGAGCGGTTAGCCAAGTCCAATTACTGGACTTAGTAAGTGAAAGATAAGGGACTTAGGTAAGTCCAGA